AATAAAATATTATTAATATTATTATGATTCGTTCTTGTCTTATGTATTATTCCTCTTCAACTTTATTATGAAGTTTAGCTACTTCACATTATGTAATAAACCCATCAATTTTTTTATCCTTTTGGAATGAAGAATTTGTGGCAATAAGGTAGACTCAAAAGATTCAATGAAATTATGAAATAAATCCGACCTTAGCTCAGTTGGTAGAGCGGAGGACTGTAGTGGTTGAAAGTATCCAAAGTCATCCTTAGGTCACTGATTTGAATTCGGTAGGTCGGAGTTTTTTTTAAATCACTCACTTGAATGTGGGCTCCCGTCATTCATGTGATTCTTCGCAACTTCCTTACTAGTTGTAAGCTCTCAGTAAGTATATATTATAAAATTATTATAAAATTATATTTGGACTATGACTCTTTCACAACTTCATATTTCATAATTGTTTACATATTTATTGGAGTTTGTGCTCATTCACATGGAGACTTGGCCCTTACTTTTTTTTTTTTTTTTTTCTTCTTAATATATCTTACTTCAAATATTTAATTAATTTATTTATTTATCTTGGATAATTATTCTAATATAATATACACTCACTTGTGGTCGACTAGTCAACTCGACTACAACTAGCAATTCATTGCATGACTCAAAAATATATAGTCAAGCTTTTTTCTTTTCTTTTTATACAAAAATAAATAAATAAATAGTTGACTCCTTCAACCATGGAAAGTTGGTGTAAATAAAATATTATTTAATAAAATAAAATAGTTCCAATTATAATAATCTCTTAATTATCCATAGAGATTAAGTGTCAAGTGCTAATTAAATTAAACACCAGTGCACAAAAAAAAGACAATATTTAAATGATAATAATTAATAATAATATCTCAAAAAGACAAAAAAGAAGAGTGTGTAATTTCGTATAATATATTAAGGCAAATGGTCAGTGTTTATATATATATATGAGTTGTTCGTAGGACCTCACACATCTCATTGCTTTCTCAGCTCTTTGCCAAGTTTAAGTGAGTTGTAGAAGTGTTTCCGATTCCAATTCCAACTAAAAATATGGTGCCGGTTCACGAGCTGTCTTCAAATTCGTCGAAAATGATGGTTTCCAACGCCCACCACAAAATTGATATCGACGGTGAAGTCTACGAAGTTAAATTGTTGACACAAGAGAACGTGAAGGAGGATCAGCACCAACCGATGATCGTTAACGACAAAGCTTCACGTCTCATGATATTTATTCAATGGGCTAGAACTAAACTACACAACTTCGCGATTCATGGCTGTTGTAAGTTCTACCTTCCTTTATTTGTTTCTTATTGTTATGAATTTAGTCCGTAAACTTTGAATTTTACTTCCATTTGTCAATTTTTGAATGTCTAAAGTTTCCGGTTTTATTTTGAAAAAGTTCATCCTCTAATATTTATTTTTTATTGTTATTAATTTGTTCATCAAACTTTTCTTTTTTTTTTTATGTCTACTCTTATTTTAGAAAAAAATTTCCAAAATTTGAATATATATATTTTAAAAAAACCACTTCAAAAATATTTAAAAGAGTGGTCAAGAAATAAATAATTAAAAATTATTACGAAGATAAACAAAAATAATAATATAATTATATTGTACTCAAAAATATATTTCACTTTTTAAAAATTAAGAAAACAAGTTGGATTATAAAGTCCTGGTTTATTTTCGATCCGATTCTATTAGATTGAACCATCTAATTTTTTGAGTCATCGAATTTACATTTTGCAGGGAACCCAAGGAAGGACGCTCGTCCGTCCCCTATGCGGCTATGCGAAGCTGCAACCAAGGGTGACTGGAAGGCTGCAGAGGACATCGAAAAGAAACATAAAGGAATCCTTTCAGAGGTAATAAATAAGGATAGACAAGAAACAGCTCTCCACATTGCCACTAGATTCAACCAGGCTGCGTTCGTGGAGAAGCTGGTTCAAAAACTGACCAGAAACGACTTGGAAGCCACAAATATATATGGAAACACAGCCCTTTGCATCGCTGCAACATCAGGCTCTGTGGATATTGCCAAGTTCATGGTGCAAAAGCATAATGATTTAGTCCTAATTCCTGGGTCTGGAAATGCCACTCCTGTTTTAATTGCTGCTAGATATAAACACAACCATATGGTTTCTTATTTCCTCACGATGGAATGGATCATCAAACACATGGAAATTAACCAGCAAATGGAGCTTCTTTTTAGTGCCATTGCCACCGATCATTACGGTTTGTTTTTACCCGCAAAATTTAAATTTTATGAATTGGGTCGGTTCGAAATACCTTCTAGTTTAGTCAAAATTCATAATCATCACGTTTTTTTTTTTATTCTACAGATATAGCTTTGCTTATTCTAAAGTGGAACGAGAAATTGGCATTGGATCGAGACATCAATGACGATACACCCTTGCATATCATGGCTCGAAAGTCTAATACAATTGGCACAAAAAATAACCTAACTGAGTGGCAATCATGTAAGTGTGTTTTTTTTTTAGTTTAAGAGTATTAATTTTTATTAATTTAGCTTTTTAAATATTTATAATTTTAATTTGATTTTTAGGTTTCAAGCCTATATACAAGAAGAAAATGATGCAAATACAAGCCTATCAAACACTAGAAATGATGTGGAGTATAGTTCAAAATAAGATTGATGAAGATAAGATTCCGGATTTCATTTTACATCCCTCGAGCATGCTACACGATGCTGCAAGGGTCGGAAACGTTGAATTTGTGAGAGTGTTACTTCATAAAAATCCTAAGCTTCTACTGATGGTCGATGGCAGTGGGAAGAACATATTTCACATAGCAGTCGAAAATCGACAACGTAGCGTCTTCAACTTAATTTATGATATGAAACTCTTCCACCTAGATGACCTATTATATCATTTCAACGAGGAAAACATGAGCTTGCTTGAATTAGCTGCCAAAAGAGCTGATCCTGGTCATCTTGATCGTGTCTCAAGAGCCGTCTTTCAAATGCACCAAGAACTTCTATGGTTTAAGGTACCAATTCTCCGTTTAAATGAAAAATGGAAGAGGAAATAATAGAGATTTCTCCCCGCAAACAAACAGAATAATGTTAGAAAATAATTGGTTTATTATTAAATTGATTTTTTTAGTTTTTCTTTTTTTAAATTTTGTGTGATGTCACACGTGGTCGGGAGGAGAACAAATCACCATTTATAAGGGTGTGGAAACCTTCCCCTAGCAGACCCGTTTTAAAACTTTGAGGGGAAGCCCGAAAGGGGAAGCCCAAAGAAAACAATATTTGCTAGGGGTGGATCTGGGTCATTACAAATGATATCAGAGCCAAACACCGGATGGTGTGCCAGCCCTTCTCGCTGTTCCCCGAAGGCGGTGTGCCAGTAAGGATGCTGGCGCCAAAGAGAGTGGATTTTGGGGCAATCCCACATCGATTGGAGGAAGGAAAGAGTGCCAGCGAGGACGCTGGGCCCCGAAGGAGGGTGAATTGTGATGTCCCACATTAGTCGGGGAGGAGAACAAATCACCCTTTACAAGGGTGTGAAAACCTTCCGGACAATATCTTCTAGCTATGGATTTGGGTCGTTTTGTATTATATATTTTATTCAAATGATGACAAAATTTATGTATGTTTTGAAGGATGTAGAAAATATATTAGAGCGTACAATGAGAATAAAGAAAGGGAAGCGAACAACAAGAGAATTATTCATCCAAGAACACAAAGAACTTGTGAAAGAAGCAGAAAAGTGGGTGAAGAGTACAGCCAATTCATGCATGCTAGTAGCAACCTTGATAGCCACCGTAGTTTTTGCTGCAGCCTTCACCGTACCCGGTGGCAACGACGAAAACAATGGCTCGCCCATGTTTCTTAGCCACAAATGGTTCACGGTGTTCGTCGTCTCAGATGCAATAGCCTTGATCTCATCTTCGACTTCGATTCTACTGTTTTTGTCGATCTTGACGTCGCGGTGTGCAGAAACAGATTTTCTGTTTTGGTTGCCATTGGAGTTGGTTCTTGGCCTTGGTTTCCTGTTCGTTTCTGTGCTGGGAATGGTGCTGGCTTTCAGTGCCTGCTTCTTCCTGCACTATGGAAACCATATTTCATGCATTCCATTGCTGATTACTGGGATGGCTATTGTTCCTGTTTATTGGTTCTGTGTGCTGCAATGGAAGCTTTGGGCTGATGCTTTAGCAGCATTGCATGCTAGTGGGATGTCATGTTTATTAAAATGTAGGCAGAACAAATGGTTCTGATGTTCTTAACATTAGCTATACAACTGTTTTTGTATTAAAAAAATGTTCATGATCATTAGAGACGTACGATGATATATTAACGTGTATTTGTATTATTAATTTTTTTATAAATTCCAAATTATTTTCCTCGATGTTAGTCGTGTAATTGTTAATTAAGAATAGCGTATTTTGAACTCTCAAATCAGAGTTAAAACGAAAAAGTTATGGATGAAATAAATTAAATAGAGAATAACGACTAATTTGTATATTAATTTGAATATTAAAAAAAAAAATTAAACTCGTGACCAAGTTATTATTATTAAAAAGAAAAAACCATGTTCGTGGATCATTATTATTATATTATTACTATTTAAAAAGTAAAAAAAAATATCTAAACTTGTGACGTTATTATTATTACTAATGTTATTATTATTATCATCGTTACTATTATTACCATTATATTATATTTTTTAATTTATTATTTATATATTATTATTATAATATAATATCACTATTATTAACCTTTTAATCTATTTCACAATACCTACAATTTTTAATTTTATTTCTTTCTCAGAGAAATATTTTTATTGTTAAATCCTTGATCGTTATAAAATCTTCGATTTTATTTTATTTATTAACTCATTATTCATGGTAGACGTGACAGTATTTAATTGAAATAATACTCATGATAATAATAATAATAATAATAATAATATCTCAAAAAGACAACAAAAAAGGGTTTTCAAGTATTATATATTTGGATTAAATGCCCAATGTGTCTATATATATATAAAAGTTGTTCATCGCTCATAGGTCTCATTGCCTTCTCTGCATCAACCTCTTCGTTAAGTTAAAGTGAGTTGCATTAGGGTTTCCAATTCCAAGTAATAATACGACGCACCAAATTCACGGGTCGTCTTCAAATTGCCCGAAAATGATGGTTCTCAGTTCCGACGACAACCATGGAATTGATGTTCACGGTGACTTTTACGAAGCTTCATCGTCGACGCAAGCGAACATGAAGGAAGATCAGCCTCAACCGATAATCGCTAACGACAAAACTTCACATCACAAGATGGGTCTTCACTTGGCTAGAACTAAACGTCACAACTTCAACATTTACAATTGTAAGTTCCATTTTTTTATAATTATTTTATTTTATAATAAATAAAATTTTTATTTATTTGAATCTAACTCGACTCCAATCATTCATGACCCAACACGTGCTGTTGAATTTATTTAATTGAATTTTTCGAGTCATATGATTTTTTTTACGCCCAATCAACTTTTTACAGGGGGCGTGAGAACGGACGATAATCCGCTGCATATTCAGCTATGCGAAGCAGCAACTAGAGGTGATTGGAAGACTGCAAACAACATCGAAAAGACACATAAAGGAATCCTGTCGGAGATAATAAGAAAGGATAGAAAAGAAACAGCTCTTCACATTGCCACCAGATTCAACAACACTGCCTTCGTTGAGAAGCTGATGGAAAAGCTAACAGAAAAGGACTTGGAAGCCACAGATGTATATGGAAACACAGCGCTCTGCATGGCTGCTACATTAGGCGCTGTGGATATTGCCAACTCCATGCTGCACAAAAATAAGGATTTAGTGCTAATTCGTGGGTCTCAAAATGCAACCCCGATTTTAGTGGCTGCGAGATATAAACAGAACCATATGGTTTCTTTTCTACTCAAAGAGATGGACTTGAGCATCCAAAGCATGGCCACTAGCGACCAAATGGAGCTTCTTCTTAGTGCCATTGCCACCGACCATTACGGTTCGTTTTTACTCACAAAATTTAATTTTTATGAATTGGGTCGGTTTAAAATACTTTTTTATTTAGTCCGAACTCTTAATTATTGTGTCTTTTTTATTTTGTTCTTTTACAGATGTAGCTTTACTTATTCTAAACGGGAACAAGTTATTGGCACTGGAACGAGACGTCAATGACGATACACCCTTACATATAATGGCCCGAAAATCTAATACATTAGGCACAAAAAATAACCCAACCAAGTGGCAATCATCTCTCCATAGGTGTAAGTTTTTTTTTTTTTTTTTTTTTTTT